TCATTTACCTTGGGGCCTAAGAGTACATATGTTGCTTCTGACACAGATTCAAATTTATGCTCTATTCAAATTCACCTTGCTTTTAAATTTCCTAATTTCAAAAACGCTAGGTTTTAAAGTTACAAAACGGGCTCTCTAATCATTTTCGGTTATCATTTATATAATTAATTTTTATCTTCTATTCTACTGAAATTGATGATTTTCATTTGAGAAACTTGTCTATTTTAAAGCAAATTTATAGTTTTAGTTTAATTCTGGAAATTTTAAAATAACATTTTACAGTCTGTGTGTGTGTGTGTGTGTGTGTGTCTGGCCGTCTGTCTGTCTGTCTCAGGATGAGATACCACTTTCATGTCCTATTTTCCCTGGCCTCATAGTTTTCCCATATTTGAAGTCTGTAACATAATTCTTAGAGGATGGCCATCTTTAGTAGGTTAATGCTTATTCTATCTTAAAGACCTTTATGGAGACAGATCCTAAAATGTTCCCATTTCTGAGTGCTTTTTATAAATAATATTTATGCTGTATTTCATCTAAATCCCTCCAGATGCAATTTTCATTTATTTCCTCTTATTCCCTCCTCAATAGAGATTAAGACAAAACAAAACACTCTTCAGTACATCCTGAAGATGTACTGCTTAATAATCTTTCATACACTCAAAGACAGTGAATAAGGTCTTTTCTGCTTCTTTTCTGAGAGAAATCCTTTCCAATTTCAACCCATGAGACCTATTTCAAAAAAAAAATCCCTCCATCACTTAGTTGCTCTCTCCTATGGACTCTCTCCAGTGAGCCTTTCTAGTTGTCAAATTTCTATGATTGATGTACAAGAGCTGCTACATGGAAATAATTCAATAACGTACAGTGTTCTCAGTTCATAATCTTGTGCTCTGGTATACCAGATGCCCAGGCTCTCTTTACGAAACTGCTCACTGATTTCCCAGTTACTGTAGGTATGCACACACATCTACACCCTGCTCATGGCTGACAGGAGTTGTCTCCCCAGAGATGCCAAGAGCACTGCTCCCTCCTCCTTAACAGCCTTCAGCCTTTTTCTCTGGCAGGGCAAATGGCCATTCACCTTCCAGAGCTCCCCACTCCCTACGGGATTGGGCTGAGGCTAGACTTCTCCTGAAATCATGTCTCTGTCCAGCTTCTTCCCCTGCCTCTCCTGCTTCCCTCCCTTACTAAGAGGTTTCTTTGGAATACTTTTCTTTAACAAATCATGTGCACAAGAACCCCCATCTCAGCCTCTGCTTCTGGGGAACCTGATGTAAGACAGCTGGCATTAAGAAAAGATCACAATGCCAGAACGTCAGTCAAGCTAGCAACAAACATCAAAGGTTTTTTTGCCTTTTTAAAAAAATCCTATAAGGACTTTAGTTTGGACTGTTACACAGATACGACCTTGTGGAACTCCACATGTATTTATTAGATGGATAAATGGATAGTAATTAGATCAAATAGCATGAGCAGTGTTTAGTATTAATACTTGCACTGCTTTTTAGGAAATGTGATTATTAAATCTTAGCCATAGATTTCTGTTTCCTGTAGACAGTGCTTCCAGTTAAAATGTCAAAGGACGTATTTTTCAACAACATTGCTGAGTTCAATTATACTAAACTAAAACAGCAGTGATCTCTTTTATCCAAAGCTTTAAAAGTTAGTTTATTCCTCCCAATCTCGCACATACCACAAAAATTACCCAGGTAAATGAACAACCTGTAGCTTCCAAGTATCTCATGGGCTTTCTGTACCTTGCAGAACTAGTCCAAGATTTGAATACCCTGAACTTACTTGCCAAGAGCTACATACATTCTTAAAATTAGCACGTGGAAACTGTGCTGTTTAGAACGTGTTAATTATCTAGATTGTCCAAAACAGTAGTTTTTCACTAATGTGCTGGACTCCTTAAAGCATATAGAGTAAGTATCCATCATAAACCTATTAGACAATGTTTGAAATGCCATTAGACTCGATGGAACTATTCAGTTAATAAAATAGAAAAATCATAAGTTAAGCTGCTATCTTTTTAAATTACACACTCAAAAAAAAACTAATAGAGTTATTTTGTAAATGTCATTCTCTTCAAATCTTTTGCAGCTTACAGTGGGGTTTCATGTATTAGTTCCTTGCAGCCTTTTTCATTTTCATCTTTGTATTGATAACTGGGTTTTCAGGAATGTGAACTGTAGCTGTACACAGAGGGAAAATATTCATCGATGATACCAAATTCATATAAACAAAGCATAGTGGACCAGATTGTGCTCAGTTGAACATAGGCAAAATTGCTCCCAATATAAGGACATCTGGGGGATACACCCAGCTCCAAATGGTACACAGGTAAACTTCTCTCCTGTCAGGGTTACAGTCTAGACATTCTGTCCACGGGTCTTTAAGTCTTCCACTCAGTGGGAGAAACACACGCCAGATATCCTGGGGGATCATTCTCATCAGGGCCATTATAGGAGGTCTAGCTCTTGCTGTTGCTTTTATACAGTGATCATGTAAATTTAATCCCTGTGCCAATCATTAAGTGAAAGGAGGCAGATCCTTTATTTTTCTTGAAGTGTTTTGTTTCTGGCTAAAAAGAAGCCCATCCAGGCACTAGGAGCTGAGGATGTATGTCGCCCTGCCAAGAGCTTCTTCATGTGTCAAAGGACGCCCATCTTTGTGTGCAGAATCTAACAAAGTTTGGAGAATGCCATCAATTTTTTTGTTTAATCTGTGTTTCTGGATTGCCTTATAGAAAATATTCTTGATGTCTTGATGAGCCCTGTCCAAAAATTAGGCAAAGACAGCCAACCTGGCAACGGACAGGCTGCATGGCTAAAACCTCCAACCAAATCTGCAGACAGCTGTGCCACCTTCTCATGGAGGTGACTTCTGATTTCCTTTCCATGAAAACAATGGCTAGCTGTTAAAATTATCAGCTCAGAAAGAGATTCAAACAAATTTCTTTCTTCCCAACTTTAAAATTTTCTTTCTCCATTATAGAAATGTGCTACCTAAAGTTGTCTACGTTAAGGACACTTTTAACATTTTCTTCTCCTCCAAGAATTAGTTACATCATACTGCAACTCCCTTGCCAAACACGGGTGTTGTCAGATAACTGTGGTCACCTTTGTATTCAGATCTTTGTTTTTATGATTAAAAAAGCAGTGTAGCAGCATCACCCCTCAGAAGGTAATTAAACATCTTGTCTACCATAGTAACACTAAATACAGGCCTGTGTTTTTCATCTGCATTTTCTAGGAATTCAATTGGAATTTTCCCCAGTGCAATGCTCAAGGAATAGCACTGGAGAGAAAACGTATGGTGGACTTTTTACTGCAGCCAATATCTAGGCTGGGTGCCTGAAGGTGTGGTGGAGCAGGCAGACCAGGCTGAGGGTGGAGGTGCAGGCGGAGGTGATCAGCAGCATGGATGGGAGGTTGCCACCTGTCACCTGCTCCACTGCTGCCCCAGCATGGCTCCATCCACTGGAGTGGCCGCCACCACCTGGGTCCAAATTGACAGAGCACGAGAGGCTGGCAGATGGGCTTCTGGTGATGACCTTGGCCCTCAGGGCTCCCACTGGGTCTTACTTCCCACTCCCCTCAAATGCTACCCCCCTATTGTCTCAGCAGCAAATTAAACATTTTTTTTTTAAACTACCGAGGTTTAGAGTCAGGTATACTAAAGTGAGTATGCTTGGCAATGTTTCAAGGTTTCAGACCTTCAAGATTCTGCTTCATGGTAAAGTTATAACTCATTCAGTGATTCCTCAATAACTTAAAATCCTAAACCTGTCTAATTTCCGACTTGTCCACACAGCACTCAGAGTCAAAATCCTACAATCAATCAGTCAGCTTGCTGGGTAACAAAAAAAGCAGGAAATCTCTTAGTAATTGTTATCTCACTATCATAAATGCTACTCCGGTGTCTTAAAGGTTAATTAGGCTTCTTTCAGTGTCTAATTTGACTCACAGCAAAAATAAATATGGCATAATAAACTGTCATCCATATCTATTTAGAAATGAAAGTAAACAAAAGTTTAAGGTCTACAGATAAAGCTGGACTTTTAGACTAGTCAAAGTTTGGTTTGTTGAAGGCATCTTATAGAACTTAGGCTTATAATGGTTGTAATATGTTTAATTTTTCTTTGGTTTTTATTTAGTAATTTATCAATATCTATGGCATAAACATACTCCTGTACCCTCTGATGTCCCTGTCTCAGTCTGTTGGAGCTGCTGTAACAAATCACCATAGACTGGATGGCTTACAAACAACAGAAATTTCTCACAGTTCCAGAGGCTAGGAGATCAAAGATCAAGGTGCTGGCAGATTTAGTGCCTGGTGATGACCCACTTCCTGGTTCACAGACAGCATGTGTCCTCACACAGCAGAAGGGGTGAGGGAGCTCACTGGGGCCTCTTCTATAAGGTCACTCATCCCATTCATTCATGACCTGAACACTTCCCCAAAGCCTCACCTCCAAATAACATCACATTGGGCATTAGGATTTAATATATGAATTGGGGGGAGGAGGGGCGCATATTCAGTCTGTAGCAACCCTTTGACATTTTTCAGTGTAAGAAGGTCCAGTACTCATAACTGTAAACCAAACATCCGCGCTCTTACCCTAGCAAGCGCTTCTTCAATGGTGATCATCTTTTCCTTGACCATCATCATCAGCTGAATCCGCTCCTCATCACTCATGGTTATCTCGCTTGCAACATAACCCACATCTTCTCCTAGAGATTGAAGGAGAAAAACAACAGGAATGAAAACAAGAAAGAGAAAACAGAATGCCAGTCCTGAAGGTTCGTCGTCTAGGACTAGAGAGGGATGTGATTCAGGGGCACCGTCCAGCACTGTTACTGATGGAGTCACAGGAGCAGGAATGGGCTACCTTTTAGGAAGCCAGTGAGCCCATCTCAATGGGACACAAGCTCCAAGAACATGTGGATGTTACAGTACAAACAAATCCTCCGACATGATCGCAGCTTTTGTGATAGAGAGTCTAGTGGGGGAGTTTTGGAAGAAGACTACCAGGGCGTTCAAAGTGGCAGGTGGGGCAGGAGACCTAATCTACAGACCCAGCTAGAGGGGACGAGTATCCCAGCGCTCCTTCCGCTCAGAGCTGTCTGTGTCCTTCCATCTCAAATGTGAACGAGAAGAAAATGTTTTTGCAGATGTAGGGGAAGAAATTCTCTTTCACAACAGAGAACTTGAAGGTCCCAGTGTCTACTGAGGAGCAAAACTCCCTACCTTCTTCCTAAGCTATTTGCCTGTTATTCCTCACAGGACAAATGCAAATGAAATCACAGGTGTGAAGTGTGATACTATCGATGTATATATCTGAAAGTATCATGGTTATGAATATGTTTCCAAAGTGTGAGGGGACCTCAACTTCCAGCTCGAAACTGAAGGCAGATGAAACTGCAGAGCAAACGAGAATCCTCCGATTAGGATCCTTGGAAAGGGTTTTCCTGAAAAGCAGACATTGCTGTTGCCTCTCATATATGGGAGCCACGTGCACGTGGTGCCTTTGGTCAGCGTGCGGGGAGGATGTGACAGTGAGGGCGGGTTGGATGCGCAGACTGGGAATAAGCCCGCCTTCTCGTCTCTCATCTTTCTTCTCTGCCCTTTCATCCCCACCTGTACCTGACTAGCATCATCAGCAGCTTGGTGTAGAGGGACAGGCAGACGTGGGAACCCACGTCAGTCAGAACCTACCTTGGAATCCACGTTCCCCACCATTCAAACTCCCTTCACCACCCAGATCCTCGTGTGGGAAGAGTAACCGTGTGTGCTGGGTGAGGGGAGAGCCAGCTGCTTTGATGCACTTTACTATCTGTGTTGCCAATGGTGGGGGGAGTGACGGGGAGTCGAGTGATTTAAAAAGAAATCCATGTGGGCTGGTAAGCTGTTGGCTTCCTCCCTCCATCCCTCTTTCTCTTTTTCTTTCTCCTTTTCTTTCCTTCCTAATAAGACTTTGTTAGAATCCAAGGTTTACTTTGAATCATATGTGATGCTGGGTGTGTCCCCCTAAACTGGGAACGTTTAAGAATAACTCTGACAGCAGGACAACTTAAATAAGCCCACTGCTCGCTGCCAAAGAACCCAGGTGTGCTTCTGGCATGCACGCTGTCCGTGTCCGTTTTTCTCATTTCCATGTGTAGGAATCACTAGAGAAGCACTCTGATCAGGGCAGGACACTAAGATTTTGTAAAAAGAAAGTCAGTTGTGTCAACTAAAAAGGTTCATCTAATGATAACCTTATTCAGCCAGCCTGGAATCTGGAAGCAGCTTTGTTTCCTCTCCTTGTCTGAATACCGGAGAAACATAAATTATATAACTGGGCCTCAAAGGGATGACATATTTACTTACTATATAAACAACAACAAAAGACACAGCCAAGAGGAGGGCAGGACTCCCTTCACAAAGCAGCCCAGGCGAATTCCCATGATGTCAGCCCATCCGACAGTTTCCAGGGGCAACAGCCCCATAACTGTCCCGGCCACAGAAAAGCATCAGAAGTTCAGATTGCAAAGGCCCCAAGTGGCAGGGGGGAGGGTCCAAAACTAACAAATGCTAAGACTTTCTAGACCCTTTTAGGTTCGATCTTGGCCAGCAAAGGTCTCGCTGAGGTTGATGTGACTGAGAAAACTCAAGATCTGGTCTTTGCTGTCAGATCTACGAAAAGAAAGAATTGCAAACTCTTCCCGTTTTGTTTTCTTTGATTTAAAAAAAAAAAAACCCACTGGGATGAAGTCTTAGAGCAACGAAAGGAATGTCAGAAAAGCCGAACATTTTATGGGCACATGCAATGAGTTAGTCTAACCTACAGAATCCATTTAGGTTAGCCGCACAGGCTTCTTAACATTTAAGAGCTAAAAGGACCTACTGTCCGCCAGCTGTGTTACAGTACCTTTTGAAGTCTGTCTCATTATTCCTTTCTGATTCTTTCGGAAGTTCTGCCAGAAATACTTATTTTTCTTCTTCCAATCTCCTTTTCCTTTAAAAAGAAAAAGCACAAGCAATAAATTCATTAATAACAAAAGTAGCCTCTTCCTTACAATTCAAAGCTTGTAAGAATACTTTGATTTCACAAAAAGACAGTTTCTCTCTTTCAGTTTGTGAGAAGACTGAGAAATGCCTATAAAGTTGTTTAAAAGAAATGCAAATTTCCTAGGAGCAGGAAATGGTACAGTAGGGTTAAGATGAGAAATAAAGAAACATCAAACAAGCAGGCAAATGCATTCTTATATTCACTTTGATGTTTGTTTAACTAGTAGGTTTAACTCTGCCTTGTCTTGTGGTATAGTTTTCCCCTCTGGTCTCAACCGCAATTGTTTCAACTGAACCACAAATAGGATAGTTTAAACAGTTAACTTTGTTTTGTTTTTGTTCCTGTCATTGATCTACCCTTGGTTTGTTTGCTATCCCAGGTTTAACGAAGAGGACAGAATGGTCGATCTGTGCTGTGCACACTGGTCCATGGAGCTGGTTGCACAGGTCTGTGGGGTTGACTCCTGAGGTTCCTCGAAGGTGTGGACTTTGCACGGGTCCAGCTGAGGCCCAGGCGGGGCACGACTCCCACCTCTCCGGCGCTCAGGCTACCTGGTGACCTGACCCACCCACAGCTCACCCAGGGCACAATGACGAGAAAAGCAGGCTGCTCTCCTGCTGGGACATCGCCCGACCGGGTCCCCCCTCCTGCCTCCCATCCTTCCCAGACTGTTCTGAGTGACACTGAAATGATAACAGATCTCTTCCTGTGGCTAGACATTTTAAATATCCGGTTGGCCTATGATCACCAGGAACATGTAATACATTTTTAAAAGGGGAAAGGGGGCACATAAGGAGAAGGAGAGAATACGGTGGCCCTTTATTCTTTAAAAATAAAATGAAGCGGCAGTGCCATCTGCATTTTTCCACGTGGCACACCCAAAACTGCAGCTTCGTCTCTGCTTGGTGTCTGGTGGCTCCACGGTCACTGGAAACAGGGCCCGGCAGAGAGATACACTGTTGGTTTCCAGTCTAGACTAGCGGTGCCAGGCAGCACGACACTAAGTAGACCAGTGGAAACCCCAGCCACAGTGTTCCCAGGCTAGAAGGGGCATCTTGT